AACAGACTAATACAATATTTGTCCTTTTGTGATTGACTTATTTCACTCAGCATAATGTCCTCCAAGTTCATCCACATTATGCGGTGTCTAATTGAGATGCTTTAAAAAACAGATGCAACACTGGAAGTGCTCACTCTTCAATGCCAAGAAAGACAGCTGCCTACCAAACTAACAGGAAGAGATACATGTTTGTGCCCATTCCAAAGAAAGGTAATCCAACAGAACATGTAAATTACTCAACAATATCACACGCAAGTAAAATTTTGTTGAGGTAACTCAAAAATGGTTGCAGCAATACACTGACAGGGAATTGCCAGAGATTCTAGCTGGATTCAGAAGATGACATAGAACAAGGAATATCATTGCTGGTGTCTGATGGAGCTTGACCGAAAGCAGAGAATACCAGAAAGATGTTTCCTTGTGTTTTGACTGGAAAAAAGCGTGCAACTGTGTGGATCATAACAAATTACAGATAACGTTGTGAAGAATGGAAATTCCAGAGCACTTCATTGTGCTCACATGGAATCTGAACATAAATCAAGAGGCAGATGTTTGAACAGAACAAGGGGACACTGAGTAGTTTAAAATCAGGAAAGGTGTGTGTCGCGGTCATATCCTCTCACAGTACTTATTCAATCTGTATGCTGAACAAATAACCTGAGAAGCTGGACTGTATGAAAAGGAACACAACATCAAGATTGGAGGAATACTCATTAACAGCCTGCAATATGCAGGTGACACAACCTCACTTGCTGAAAGTGAAGAGGACTTGAAGCACTTCCTGATAAAGATCAAAGATGACAGCCTTCAATACACCTCAACATAAAGAAAACAAAATTCCCACAACTGGACCAATAAGCAACATCATGGTAAACAGGGAAAATATTGAAGTTGTCAAGAATTTCATTTTACTTGGATCTACCATCCACACCCAGGAAAGAACAGTCAAGAAATCACATGACAGCTGGCCATGGGAGACTGATGCCCACTATTGAAGATGACCATGCTCTCTTTCTTCTCTGTGTAAAGTTTTGTTCCAACCAGTGTGTGTGTGGGGGAAATCACATGACACATTACATTGAGCAAATCTGCTGAAAAGGACCTCTTGAAAGTTTTAAAAAGTGAAGGTGTCACCTTGAGGACTAAGATGTGCATGACCCAAGCCATGATATTTTCATTCACCTCATATGCATGTGAAAGCTGAACAACGAATAAGGAATACTGAAGAATAATTGATGTCTTTGAATTGTGTTGGCAAAGAATATTGAATATACCATGGACTGCCAAAAGAACAAATAAATCTGTCTTGGAAGAAGTATACCCAGAATGCTTCTTGGAAGTAAGGGTGGCGTGATTTCATCTTACGTGTTTTGGACATGTTATCAGGAGAGACTAGTCACTAAAGAAGGACTTCGTGCTTGGTAAGTAAAGTGTCAGCAAAAAAGAGGGAGACCCTCAATGAGATGGATTGACCCAGTGGCTGCAACAGTGGGCTCAAAGATAGCAATGATTGTGCAGGTGGCACAGGGCCAGGCAGTGTTTCGTTCTGTTGTAGATAGGATTGCTGTGAGTCAGAACTGACTTAACAGCATTTGACAACAGTTGGGGATTGGCTTTCCTATGTATCCTTGAAAAACAGTGTTTATATTCCACCACCAAAGTCACTCCATGGCCAAGCAGGAGGGTATATAGATATCCTGAAGGACTCTGTGTATGTTAGGACCAGTGGTGAAAGCAGTACCTACTATGATTGTGACTGGTGTTTTCACCCATTTATCAGATGGAGGTACAGCTTGGATTTCCCAAGAGTCCTTTGATGTAGATGAAACAGACAGCAAGACAGGCTTGAAGTGGCAGAATGTGGCCAGCAAGCTAAAGGACGATCTTTCCAGGATCATCCTCCTGTCAGAGGAGGAGCTCCAGGTAAGCCACCACCTCCATCTGCAGCAGCCCCCATCCTTCTCCAGTGCCAGACTCTAGTTAGAGTTATTATTGTGCATCTTACCACAATAATTTCATTTCTCTTAATTCTACAATTTTCAAATTATAGCTAAGAGTCTTCATTTTATAGTTCTTGTTTTCACCTGGATTAGCAATTTTTTTGATCCTCACCCTGTATCAGAATCACCTTTTTAAAAATACAGATCATCAACTCTACCCTTGCCTTAATCAGGTGAAATCTGGGGGCTGAGGGTGTACTGCTTAGGGATGTGGAGAGGGTGGTGAAGTCAGAGTGTCTCCACAGCACTTTGAGCCAGTAACATAACTTCTCTGCTTGCATTTCCTCTTTTGTAAAACTTGGGATAAAAATACCAAAACCAAACCTACTGCCATCAAGTCAATTCCAACTCATAGCAACCCTATAGGACAGAGTAGAACTGGCCCATAGGGTTTTCAAGACTATAAATCTTTTCAGAAACAGACTGCCTCATCTTTGGAATGGCTGGTGGGTTCGAACCAACGACCATTTTGTTTGTAGCTGAGTGCCTTAACTACTGCATCACCAGAGCTCTCTGGGATAAAAATGTTGTTGTTGTTGTTGTTATGTGCCGTCGAGTCAAACCCGACTCATAGCGACCCTTCCTTGGGTTTCCGAGGCAGTATCACTATGGAAGTAGGATTGCCCAACCTTCCTTCCGAGGAGTGGCTGGTGGGTTTGAACCGCCAGCCGTCTGGTTAGCAGGCAAGTGTCTTAGCCACTATGCTACCAGAGCTCCCTGGATGTGTTAATTCAAAAAACATGTATTGAGCCCCCACCCGGAGCTTGGCTTTTGTTCTATACTCTGGGGATCCAGTGGTGAGCAAGCCAGACACAGGGAACTTGCTCTAACAGAACTCCCATTCTGATGGGAGGCCAACTATGAGCAAGCAAGCATTTCAGACCAGGAGATGTGCAGAGAGCAACGTCAGGGGCCACTCTAGACTGAAGGATCGAGTAAGGGCTCTAATAGGGTGGGATAAGTTTTTAAGTTTATATCACATGTGTTTGCAGTTTTGGGTTTACAGACAAATTGCATAAAATTCCCATATGTACCCTCTCCCCTCTGCCCAGTTTCTCCACTAATTAACATCTAGCATTTCCAACCATACATTTATTACAGTTGAACCAGTATTGATGCATAATTATTAACTAAAGTTCCTAGTTTATGTTAGCATTCATTCTTTGTGTCTCTAGTACTGTGGGTTGACAAATACGTAATGTCATGTGTCCACCATCACAGTAACATACAGAATAGTTTTTGTATGTATTTTTGAATAAGTAATATGAAAGCATTTACATGGTTCAAAATCCAAGAGGTGCAAAAGGATTTAACAATAGCAAACTGCCGTCCAGTGGATTCTGATTCATAGGGGCCCTCATTGGGTTTCCGAGGCTATAAATCTTTATGCAAGTAGATTCTGCCATCTTCCTTCCACAGAGCAGCAGGTGGGTTTGAACTGCTGACCTTCTGGTTAGCAGCCAAATTCCTTATCCACTGTGCCACCAGAGCTCCTTGCAAAAGGATATACAGGTAGCCAAAAAGTGGAAGCCACCCAGATATCCATCAGTTGATGAATGGATAAATAAAATTGGTATATCCATACAGTGGAATATTTTTCAGTCATGAAAAGTAACGAAATGCTAATTAATTTAGGCTATAACATGAGTGAACATGGTAAACCTTATGCTAGGTAAAAGAAACCAATCAGAAAAGGCCATACATTGTATGATTACACTTACGTGAAATGTTAAGAATAGGTAAAGCCATGATACAGAAAGTAGATTAGTGTTTGCCTGGGGCTGGGGGGAGGAGAGAATGGGGAGTGATGGCTTAATGGGTGCAGGGTCTTCTTTTGGGGGTGATGAGAGTATTTGGAACTAGATTGAGGTGATAGCTGTGCAGTATTTTGAGTTTAGGACCACACCCATCAGTCTCAGCAGTTTGATCTTTCGCTTATAATGACTAATTGTAATCTAATACTGTATATGCAAAAAGATTGAGCCTTTTTAAAAATTATTACTCTAGCAGATTCAGGATATAAGTCAGGTCTCCCACACTTCACAGACTAGACATGTCATTTAAAAACTGGATATATGGAATAGAACTTCAAATTCCAAAATAAATGAATAATCTAGACTACTGGACCAGTTGAGACTGGAGGTCTTCCCAAGACTGTTGCCCTGATAGACTGTTTAAACCTTGAACTAAAACTAGGTTGAGGTCACCTTTTAGCTAAATAACAGATTGACTCACAAAACAAAGAATATCACTGGGGAGTACTGTGTTCTTATGAGAAAAATCACCTGTATGAACACAGGGAAAGGGTAACCACAGGGAGGAAGTGGGGAGAGAGCTGTTACAGTGCAATCAGTGACTGTGATCAGTGCCACAAAACAAAATGTGTATGAAATGCTGAATGTAAGACAAATCTGCTTTGTAAAAGCAGACCCCACCCCCAGAGGTGGGAAAGGGAGGGAAAACCCAGGGATGACAAAACCCAAAAGCTGCAGGATCCAGGTAAGGGGAGGGCAGACAGGTTTCGGACAGATAAGGGAGACAAACTTGTCTGTCGGTTTGTCATACTGTGGTGGTTTGCACATTGCTGTGAAGTTTTAGTCTGTGTTTCAAACACCAGCAGGGTTGCACATGGTGCACGGATTTCAATGCAGCTTACAGACTGAAACAGGCTAGGAAGAAGAAGAGGCCATCCACTTCTCAAATTGGCCAGGAAAAACCTTATGAATAGCAGAGAAACACTGTCTGATACCTTACTGGGCAACTTTATGAATAGCCTGGAAACATTGTCCAATACAGTGCAGGAAGACGAGCCCCTTAGGTCGGAAGGTACTCAAAATACAACTGGGAAAGAGCTGCCTCATCAGAGTAGAACCAACCTTAATAATATAGATAAAGTAAAGCTTTTGGGACCTCCATTTGCTAACGTGGCACGACGCAAATTGAGGAAAAACAGCTGCAAATACCCATTGTGTTGGTTATTTTTTTATGTCAGCTTGGCTAGGCCTGGTTGAGTGGCTGAGCAGCTGGATGTAGTATTCCCCATGATGAGACTGGTAATCAGCTCCATGGTGGAATCTACTGGGAGCAGCTGAGTAGCTGCCTTAGGGTATGTGGTCTGCTTCCTGTATATAAGGAGAAGCTTTGAGAATGGTCTCTAGCCTTTGGCACGCTTGGACCCTGCATGTAGCCATGTCATTGCTCAGCAGCCTGCTATGCTCTGCCGACCTTGGGACTTACAGTGGATTTAAGTTAATGGCCTGCCGTGTGGATTGGTAATATCGGAACTGTGCCTTTTTACTTGTCAACCCTGGGGCTTCTCAGCCTCAGCAGCCAGCAGCTGTTTGAGTGAAGAAATGCCTCTGGCTCCAGTGGGTCGGGAGCAGGAGGCAGAGCTGGACCCCAAGGTTGAGGGGCTTTCACCCAGCCCCTACAGCTTGGCACTTTGAACTTGGCCTTAAAGCCTCCAAACTGTAAGAATAAACTCCTGTTTGTTAAGGCCATCCCATTTGTGGTATGATTCCTGTCAGAGCGGCACTAGGTAACCAGAACACCCATCAATAATCAGAACATTGAATGTACGAAGTATGAATCTAGAAAAATTGGAAGTTGTCAAAAATGAAATGGAAAACATAAAGATTGATACTCTAGGCATTCGTGAGCTGAAATGGACTGGTTTTGGCCATTTTGAATCAGACAGCCATATGATCTACTATGCCGGGATTGACAATTTGAGGAGAAATGGCATAGCATTCATCATTGCAAAGGATGTTTCAAGGTCTGTCCTGAAGTACAATGCTGTGAGAAATAGAATGATATCCATACACCTACAAAGAAGACCACTTAATATTACTATAACTCAAATTTACGCACCAACCACCAAAGCCAAAGATGAGGAAATTGAAGATTTTGACCAACTTCTGCAGTCTGAAATGGCCCAAACATGCAATCAAGGTACGTTAATTATCATTGGTGACTGGAATGCCAAACTAGGAAACAAAGAAGAATCACTGGTAGTTGGAAAATTTGGCCTCGGTGACAGTAACACTGGAGATTGCATGACAGAATTTTGCAAGACCAATGACTTACTCATCGCAAATACCTTTTTTAACAACAAAAAGAGTGGCTATACACGTGGACTTCACCAGATGGGAGTACACAGGAATCAGATTGACTACATCTGTGGCAAGAGGCAATGGAAAAGCTCAATATCTTCAGCCAAAACAAGGCCAGGAGCTGATTGTGGAACAGATCATCAACTGCTCATATGCAAGTTCAAATTGAAGGTGAAGATGAAACAAGTCACAAGAGCCAAAATATGACCTTGAATATATTCTCCTGGATTTAGAGACCATCTAAAGAATAGATTTGATATATTGAACACCATTGAACAAAAACCAGAAGACAAGAACATCACCCATGAAGAAAGTAAGAAGTCATCAAAAAGATGAAAAAAGAAGAAAAGACCAAAATGGATGCAGAAGAGACTCAGAAACTTTCCTTCAAGCAAAGAGTAGCTAAAGCAAATGGAAAAAATGACAAGATAAAAGAGCTGAACAGATTTCAAAGAGCAGCTCGAGCAGACAAAGCCAATTACTGTAATGAAATGTGCAAAGACCTGGAGTTAGAAAACCAAAAGGGAAGAACATGATCAGAATTTATCAAGCTGAAAGGACTGAGGAAAAAATTTAAGTCTCAAGTTGCAATATTGAAAGATTCCATGGGCAAAATATTGAATGATGCAGGAAGCATCAAAAGAAGATGGAAGGAATACACAGAGTCACTGTACCAAAAAGACCTGGTCGATGTTCATCCATTTCAGGAGGTGGCATATGATCAAGAACCAATGGTACTGAAGGAAGAAATTGAAGCTGCACTGAAGGAATTGGCGAAGAACAAGGCTCCAGGAATGGATGGAATACCCATTGAAATGTTTCAACAAACAGATGCCCTACTGGAAGCACTCACTCGTCTATGCCGTCGAGTCAGACCTGACTCATAGCGACCCCTCCTTGGGTTTCCGAGGCAGTATCACCTCGGAAGTAGATTGCCCCATCTTCCTTCCGAGGAGTGACTGGTGGGTTTGAACCACCAGCCTTCTGGTTAGCAGTCAAGTGCCTTAGGCACTATGCTATCAGAGCTCCTTATATATAATATATAAACTATAAATATAATAAATAACCTATATGAGATCAACAATAAGAAGCATCATGATAAATGGAGAAAAGATTGAAATTGTCAAAGATTTCATATTACTTAGTTCCACAGTCAACACCAGTGGAAGCAGCAGTCAAGAAATCAGTGTATTGCACTGGGCAAATCTGCTGCAAAAGACCTCTTTCAAGTGCTGAAGAGCAAAGATGTCTCTCTGAAGACAAGAGTGTGCCTAACCCAAGCTATGGTATTTTCTGTAGCCTCATATGCGTGTGAAAGATGGACAGTGAATAAGGAAGACTGAAGAAGAGTAGATGCTTTTCAGTTGTGGTGTTGATAAAGAATTCTGAAAGTACCATGGTCTACCAGAAGAACTGACAAATCTGTCCTGGAAGAAGTGCAGCCAGAATGTTTCTTGTAAGCGAGAATGGCCAGACTTCATCTAACTTTGTTGTAACATACACCTTCTCCTCCTTGTTGTCATAAGGGACCATTCCCTGGAGAAGGATATCATGCTTGCTAAAGTGGAGGGTCAGTGAAAAAGGGGAAGGCCCACAAGAAGATGGGTTGACACAGTGGCGGCAACGATGGGCTCAGGTATAGCAAGGATTATAGGGCTGGCACAGGACCAGGCAGTGTTCTGTTCTGTTAGGAGTTGGAGCCAACTCAGTGCCACCTAAAAATAACAACAGCATATGAGACCAAACAGTAAACCATTACTTCCAAACAAAGAGGAGAATATAAGGGGGCAGGGAAACTAGATTAATAGAAACAGAACAACCAGAGAAAATAGAGTATTCATGCATTGTGAAGAATGTAACCAATTTCACTGAACAATTCATGTGGAAATTGTTCTGAACTGCTGTGTAAATCTTGACTGGAAACACGATAAAGTATTCAAAAGAAAACTGGATGTAAGTTACACTTTAAAAATAGAAATTTAAAAAATGTTTTAATGTCTGATTTTTCTATGTGAACATATATAATTAAAAAAATTTATGGTATCATAAATTACTGGTCTGATATAACCTGGTGAAACCCCCAAGACTATGGCCCCTAGTCATCTTTTGGGCCCGGAATTGATCTTGCTCCCATGGCTTCCAGCCAAACAATAGACAAGCATATAAGGTAAACATTTATACCAGGTAGGTATACTCCTTAAAACAATCAACCATGTGAGATCAAAAGGGCAGTATTTGCACAGGGAGGTAGCTCAGAGGGCAGGAATGCATAGGAAAGGACACAGGGAAAAGGTAAACTACAGGGAGAAAGTAGGAAGAGAGCTGTTGCATTTTGGGGATTACAATCAGTGTCATGAAACAAAATGTATATGAACTGTCACATGGAAAATGAATTTGCTCTGCAGATTTTCACCCAAATCACAATTTTTATATATGTATTTATTTATTTAAGGTAAAAATTGTTAGAGGAACTTTTGCTTAGAACAGCCGCATAATGATTTGTTGTAACATAAACCTTCTCCTTCTTTATATCTTGCACAATTTTTTAATACCATGGTTGGGTGGTGTTTTGTTTAATGTGGCACTACAGCATCATCATCTTAATTTTTTCACCTGAGAAAAAATATGTGCCTCTCTCTTGACTCTCAGCCAGTCATATTAGGTAACTTCGGGAAGTAGATGAAATGAAGCTCTGAAATTGATGTATTTGTGAGACAGAGCACCACATACAAGAATACTTTTAGATTCTTCAGAGTCCGTGTTTCTTTGGTAGGTGCTTATCGATGTCCCATGTCCAGACCTGGCTCGGGACCTCGGCCAAAGCTGTGCTGCAGTTCAGGGACTCCAGAAGACCCTCCAGCAGGTGCTTGACCAGAGAGAGGAAGCCCGTCAGTCCAAGCAGCTCCTGGAGCTTTATCTACGGGCTTTGGAGAAGGAGGGCAGCGTTCTGTCAAAGCAGGAAGGTAGGACTCTGGTTGGGGGCATTACAGTGAGAACCAAGTGTTTATAGAGCGTTGCCTTGAGAGAGAACAAAATGTTTACAATGCAGTCAAAAACCCTGAAGTCCAGCTGCCGGGGTCTTGAAGTGGCATGTTGATCCCTTGTCTGATGAGTACTCTGAATGCTTCTTTGTGTAGCTGACTGATGACACGGTATGCTAATCTTCACCTCACACCTGCTTTGCAGAGTCCAAAGCAGGGTTTGTTGAAGAGACGGATGCAGTTGACACGGGTATTAGCAGAGAGACGTTCTCCGGACTCACACTCACGAGCCAGATCCTTACTGCCCTGAAGGAGAAGCCTGCTCCAGAACTGAGCTTCTCGAGTCAGGACTTGGAGGTGGGCGAGAACCAGGGACACTGAGCTGCAGGAGTGACTTGCTGTCGGGGTTCAGTATCACGGTGCAGAGGCTGGGAGGGGGTTGTTTCACCTCTGCAGACCCTGAATCTTAGCTGCTAATTTGCCTATTATATGCCACAGCATTTACAAATCTCTCATGTAACCTCAGTCCAAATAGCTTTTTTAAATGGCTCATTTCCTCAGATCATCAGGGGTTAGCCTCTGGTCCAGGGTTGGTAATGAGTAACTAAACCTGACAGGGAGACGTAGCGGGACTCAGGCTTCTGAGGTGGCTTCTGGTTCTGTCAGTGACTGAAGCAGGTCCAGAGTAAATCCTGAGGCACACAGAGTAACACCCCTCAAGGGGGTCACCTTCTGGGGGCTGAGACCAAGAGAACTGGAAGCCTGATGAAGGGACCCCATCAGGGTGGGTGCTAGTTCTTATTCTTTGTCCTCTTTCCAATCCCCAAGTACCTATCTTCCTGTTGTAGATGAAAAGGAAGGAAACTGACTTGAGCTTGGCTCTATTTCCTATAAATGAGAGGCTTTACAGTAAAAGTTGTGGGAGGCTTTTCAAGTAAAGTTGTGGGAGGCTTTCCAAGTAAAGCAATTCCCTTTTTTCCCTGAGGACCCTTTCCTCTTAGTGTTGTATGGTCAGAAAAGGCATGTGGCAAATTTAACAAGAAACAAACCTGGCGGTGGCATTTCAACATAAAGACATAACATAAGTCGATGTTTGCCAGATCCTCGCCTAAGGAAAGTTAGTACCAGCAGATGGGGCTAGTGGAAGGAGTGGTTATCAATGATTCCTGTTCTTGCTGCAGTTGGTTACCAAGGAAGACCCCAAAGCATTGGCTGTTGCTTTGAACTGGGACATAAAGAAAACAGAAACTGTCCAACAAGCCTGTGAGCAGGAGCTCAGCCTGCGCCTGCAGCAAATACAGAGCCTGCACTCTCTCAGGAGGCTTTCAGCAAGGAAGACCTCACTGCCTGGGCAGCTGCAGAATCCTAAACGAGCCAAGCAAGACCCCGCCTAGCGACAGCTGGACATATGGCAAGGAATGTCTGTGGGCTAGGTTTCTGTTTTCGGTGAACACCTTCCACCTGATTCATTTGACTGCCTACATACATATACCCTGCCTCAGGGCATGTTCTGCTGGAACAAGATGGAAGGCTGGCTTTATGCCCCTCCAGAAAAGCCATACGCGTCCCAATGTATGTCCCCCACACCTATTTTGAATAATATACTCTAGCTGTACCAGCCATATCCCCTCCTCTGACTACATATTCTTACTCTGTAATTCTTTCTATTTAAAAGTCAGTGTGAAGTTAGAGTACTGCATTGTCAGTGAAGGCAAACATAGATATACGGATGGAAAGATGGGTGGACAGGCTGAACAATTAGGTATGTCTGTGCACCAGGGAGTATGCCCAAGACCATGTATAGGGTTGCCAGATAATGTTTCTACAAGTGTATTGCTATGTTCTATAAGAATTCCCAGGTATATAATAGAACTGACAAGGGACGAGATTGTTGTCTCTTCTTGGCCACAGCCAGCTACCTACCCAGAGGGAGTGAGTAGTTGGACCTGTGGGCTCGGGACCATAGTCACAGGGGACATCAAGCTCAGCTGGCATAACACTCTACACAAAAACATTGTTCCACATCCTACTTTGGCGAGTAGCGACTGGGATCTTAAAAGCTTGCAAGTGGACATCTAGATGCAGTGGTGGGTCTCTCCTCATCCAGAGCAAAGAAGAATGAAGAAAACCAAAGATTCATGGAAACAGTTAGTCCAAGCAACTGGTAAACCATGTGATTCTCAGCCTACATGACTGTGAGACCAGAAGAACTAGATGGTGGCTGGCTACCACTGTCAGTCACTCAGAGGTGGATCTGTATAGGAGATCCTGGATATAATGGGAGAACAATGTGGAACAAAACTCAAAAATCATTAAAAAAAGTGGGGGGGCACCAGTTTTGCTGGTCTGATAGAGCCTGATGGAATCCCTGAGACTATGGCCCCTAGCTGCCCTTCAGGTCTGGAATTGAACCCACTCCTGTAGCTTCCAGCCAAACAAAAGACAGGCATGTGAACTAAATATTTACACTAGGTAGATATACTCCTTGGAGAGATCAATCATGGGAGAATAGAAGGGCTGTGCATGCATAGGGAGACAGCTCGGGGGCAAGAGTGCATGGAGGGAAGGACACAGGGAAGAGGTAACAATGAGGAGAAAGTGGAAGGGGAGCTGTTGCATTGTGGGAAACTGCAGTCAATGTGATGAGACAAAGTGTATGTGAGCTGCTGTACGGCAATACCTAGAATTTGCTCTGTAAACTTTTACACAAATCACAATAAATTTTTTTTAATGTGAAGGGCCGCAGAAAGAAATAGTCATATTTGAGACTCACTGTCCTTGTTCTAAAGGAGTCCCTTGGGCAAGGTTATGGTCATTACTTGGTCACAGCCAGCTACCCAGAGGGGCCGAGTAGTTGATCCTGCGGGCTTGGGACCATAGTCACAGGGGACATCAAACTCAATTGGCATAACATACTATACAAAACATTGTTCCACCTACTACTTTGGCGAGTAGCGACTGGGACCTTAAAAGCTAGGAAGCTGCCATCTAGATGCAACAACGGGTCTCTCCTCGTCAAGAAGAAAGAAGAAAACCAAAATTAATGGAAACAATCAGTCCTAGCAACTGGTACACCATCCGATATGCAACCTATACAACTATGAGACCAGAAGAACTAGATGGTGCCCAGCTACCACTGCCATCCACTTGGAAGGGATGTAGGAGATCCTGCATAAAGAGGGAGAACAATGTGGTACAAAACTCAAAATCATTTGGAGGCAAAAAAAAGAAGGTGGGGACCAGGTTTGCTGGTCCAATGGAGCCTAGTGTAACCACTGAGACTATGGCCCCTAGCTGCCCTTCAGGTCTGGAATTGAACCCACAACTGTGGTTTCCAGCCAAACAAAGTACAGGCATGTGAGTTAAACATTTACCTCAAGTAGACACACGCCCTGGAGAGAACAATCATGGGAGAAGGAAGGGCTGCTTATGCACAGGGAGATAGCTCAGGGTGCAGAAGAGTATGAAGGGATGGACACTGGGAGGAGGTAACTATGGGGAGGAAGTGGGAGGGGAGCTGCTGCATTGTAAATTTTGGTCAATGACATGAGACAAAGTATATGTGAACTGTTGTATGAAAAGTGAATTTACTCTGTAAATCTTCACCCAAATCCTAATAAATAAAAAAAATAAAATAAAATAAAGGAGTCCCTTGGTGGTGTGAACAGCTAATGTGTTCAGCTGCTCATCGAAAGGCTGGAAGTTCACGTCCACACCGAAGTCCTCAGAAGAAAGGTGCAGTGATCTACATCTGAGCCGCTGAGACCTCCAGCGAGCACAGCTCTGGGCTGACCCACGCGGGGCCACCAGGATCAGAGTTGGCTCAGTAGCACCTGGTTACCGATTGTCCTTCTAAAGATAGCAGTTGTCCTTGTTCTAAAGATAGAACTGCAAAATTTTAAAACAAATAATGGTGGAGAGGTGATTTAATAGAATGTTGATTAAGGCTGAAAACTTATTTCTCAAATTAATGAATTTTTTTCTTTGTTAGTTTCAAGGCACATATTACGTTTCCTGACCATAGGGATGTACAGAGAGTATAATTCACCATTTCTAATATCTCACTCAGTATTGTGAAATTATAGCTGTTACCACTGTGAAACTCCTTTCAGTTTTCTAATATGTTTTATCAGCGGGGGGTATAAAGGTCATTAAATTCCATTTCCATGTGCTGCGACTCCAAGTCCCCTCCGGGTGGAAGGCAGAGCACTTCTGGTTCGTGTCCTCCTGTCTCCGTACGGACTTGTTCTTCAGGTTTGTAATTCATGGTGCAGTCCCCTTGCAGGAAAAAGATGATTAGTTATCGTGGACTTTGACTTTTTTCAGACTGGCTTAGAGAACAATGAATGCTATTAAAAGATATATTGACTGGTTATAAAATAAAGAAATGGGACAGTAAATCTTAGAGTGGAGTGAGAGGCTGCAGAAACAATGAAACAGAACAAAAGGAACTGTTTCCTTCTCTGCAGTCTTCAAGGAGGGTTAAGATCTACTCAGCATCCTTAGGAATGTCTTACACCATTGGTTCTTGTCCTGTGAGGCCCATCATTTCCTGTTTTAGTAAAATATTTTATAATTCCTTCTTAATTATCCTTAAAGCTGTAGCTGATAAACTGTCTACATACATACTTTCAAAAGCATTGACATAACACTGCCAATGTAATAGTATGGGAGAAACAAACAAAGCTATTGTCTGAAAAAAGGACATGGATCTGTTTGGGCATGAATGTACCAGAAGGCTAAATGAAACTGTCAGGTGCTAGCTGGATGGTCATGAATTTGACAGTGATTGTCAACTTAAATACCATAAGCAGCACTGCTCTTGGTAATAGGATTTTCCAAAATAGTAAAGTTTTGGGCAAAGAATAACATACCTTCCCTTCATTGACAAGTTAGCTGCATCCCTAGAAAATCCAGGGTACGTGAAAACTGTAGAAAGTACCGAAAAGCACATGAAAAGGTGCTCAACATCATTAGTCATTAGATAAATGCAAATCAAAACCTCAGTGAGGTAACAGTCACCTCCACTAAGATGGCTATGATCAAAAAAAAGATAAAATACCTGTAAAAAGCTAAATTGGCAAAAGTTGTGTGATGGCTATTATGGTAATTAAGGTTGTGTGTCAGCTTAGCTGGGCCGTGGTTTTGAGTGCCTGGGAAGCTGTAGTTATTCCCCGTGATGAGACTGTAATCACCTCCATGGTGAAATCTGCTGTGAGTAGCTAAGTATTGGCTTCAGGGCGTGGCCTGCTTCCAGTATATAAGGAGAAGCTTTGCGAAAGGTCTCTAACTTTTGGCGCATCTGGATCCTCCATTTGGCCAAGTCTTCATCTCAGTGGCCTGCCATGTTTTCTGCCGATCTTGAGGCTGTTTCTGGACTT